GACGTTATAATATTGTTATAATAACCATACAAGCATGTTTTTTTATTTCTTTTTTAACTAGCCGTCGTCGTTTTATTGTTATGACAAAATATCGTATACCCCTAGGTATTATAATATATGTCTAAATATTCCATTCGAAGAGTGCGCGCGAGAGCTGCAACTCGACTTATTCTCAGCAGATACGACACGAGTAATATAATAATAGTCTGCCTCGTCGATGACCATAACGACTTTAATGCGATTTATAAGTGTATGCATGTGTGTGTTCGCAGACTTTCATTAACGCCATAAAAAGTGATGTAGTGCGAAGGAGACACGCGCGGGAGGTCTTACGCATATTTATAATATTATATTATATACGAATGAGACATAACCGAAGGGCGTTAAAATCGCGCACGCAGACCATTGTCAGATACTTTTTTAAATATTTTATATACACATACACACATGATATTTGTGTGCAATATAATATATTATATTAAAATAATATATTTTTCCGTCGACTGCGGTGTCTCGTTAAAAGCGTATAATAATATGTGTGCGTAATGAACGGAACGAACCTTTTTTGGCGGAGTATCGTTGCGTCTTATTCGCGCATACAATGAAAGTTTCACGACGATACGATGATCTCTATTTCGACCACCATCGGGTCCCTCTCGAACTGCGCACAATATAAATCGGTACATTATAACAGTGTGGCTGCAGTGTAGCGACCGACCGGAAGAATAAAAAAAATTTAAAAAATAAAATAAACACGCGCGGTGATCGAGCACATTTTATACATAATATATTATGCATTCCTATATATGGGACACATAGGCGTACACCCGTGTTATAGTTTTTTTCCATCATAATAATCGAACGGTCGTGGAAAAAAAAGCGGTAGACACTATATAGACATTAATTGGAATCATGACTTTTAGGTTTTTCGTAACTTTACGCAACTGCAGCAGCACTAAGCCGGTGGAATCTGCTTTGAGTTTATATATTATAAACGATTTTGTTGCGCGGCAGTTGTCCAAAAATACACAACAATTATTATTACGTTTCTATATTGGGCGATCTCCGATAGTTTTTTTTTTTGCCAAAACGATATATTATGTGCAAAGGTGCGGCGATTAACTAGTTAAAGTCAAACCGTTAATGCTCTCTAACTAATAATTATTTAGTAATTATTTAATCGACCTGATGACTTAACTAGATTATGATACATATAATATCCTCGATAATAACTTAGCTTTTTTCATTGAATTTCAAATATAATATATATATTTATTATTATAACGGGAATGTCATGTTCAATCCATAGTTATACAAATCTATATTTCATGTGGTTAGAAATTAAATGAAAAATAAAAATAAATAAAATATTTGATTATTTTATCACGCTGTAGACAATGATTATAAATAAAAGTAAACAAATAAATTATATTATATTATCATATTTTTTTTGATTTAGATAATAATTTAGTAGAACAAACTTATAATTGCTTGAGCTATATAATATATATTTATACATAACAATGCGTGAAATAACAAGGAATAGTTGCATGAATTTGTAATAAAACGTTTATATAGTTATCTAAAAAATTTGAATGTTGCACAATCATTAAATGTGTGACCCTGACGATAATTAAAAATAATGAATTAACTTTAAACTTTTATAGAGTTAAATTATAAATATATTATTTAGTAACTATATATTGACTTACAAAAGGTATTTAACGTTCAAAACGTTAATTAACTCGGTCAAGTTATTTTTTTTTTTTTTCATTAACTGTCCCTCTTGAATTTATATGTGCAATAGTATTACGTTATAAAAACTTAAAATAACGAAAACATTTTTAGTTATGCATAAAATAACAACTTATATTGTCATAAATGTTTTCAAGCCGCTTTATAGGGTACTGCAGTCACGAACCGCAAATGCCGTTAATGTGTATCGTTATGCGGATGTATAATGTGTTCATATTATTATGTTGTTATATTTTCTTCGTACCAAGATCTATATTATACAGTATAATAGCACGTGGTTCAACGTTAGAGCGAGATCGTATCGAAAAAAAAAATGAAGTGTTATAATATATATTATATTATTATGTGTATATACATTTTTTCAACTTTCTTTCGATCCTTCCGGGACTATCGGTCTCTCGGGAGCTCAGACGTTAAAAATAATAACTATATATCCGCTGATACGACGTTTGACACGTTAATTTATACACTGTGCGGGGAGATTTCGAAAAAATCTCGTAGGACAAACGATACGTTCTAAGCTGTCGTTGCCGCCGGAGGGGCTGCAATGACGCTCAACGACGGTTTTTTCGATGCTCCAGTCCCGCCGAGACGGCGTATAAAATTTATTATTATAAACCACACACACAAGGGTCGTCTGCGACAGATGTCCTGCAGAGCATTCGGTGAAGAGGAGGGGAGTGGCGTGTTGAGATATGATTAATTTAGAATTTTCGTTTTTCTTCCAACGGACTTTGACAAAACTTTATCGAACCAATCAGTGATATATTTGATATTATATAATATAATATGAGTGCAGCGTACATTGAGCTGGCGTACAAAGAAAACACGTTTTGTGAAAACTCAAACAAGAGTAAAGACCGCCACCGCCACTGCCACCACTATTTCGTAGGGGCGCGTGAGGTCACCACCCCGCCGCGTGCAGTGCGGTGGGTAACGGGTGGGCTTGTTCCGTGGGATCGATAACTGGATCTAAACAGGTTCGGCGATCGGAGCGAATATCGGTTCGTTATTATATTATTAATATATTAAATTCCCATACGGGACATCTTCACACGGGACGACTAGGCCGACGTCGGTCAAGGGTTCGAACTCGTTCGATCGGTTTTGCGCCTTGCGATAAATGATAATTGATGGGAATCTTCTGCGGAAAACCGGACGCCATCCGCAACAGCTGCGCATTATGCGGCGTATAATATGTATCGACAAGGGTGGGTCGTTATATATTATTACAATATCGCGTGTATTATTTTCTACCTGTGATCGCCGAGGGTATGTCGCGATGTCGTCGGCAAGTGTCTGATGTGTATCAAAGTGTTTGGACACAATTTTCGTTAAGCGGACCTATGTCCGATTGGGATTTACCATTTGAGACGAGATCTTTGTTAGAAATTATTTAGTAAAAAACGAATCACTCGTAAATGTTCAACGCGCAATAATCTCCGCATTAATATACGAAAAAAATTATTCGTCGTGATAATCGATTAGACATTAAACGGGATTTATGCTTGCCAAAAACTCCTTCGGCGAAATTGTATACAATTATTATTATTATAATAATAACACACGAAAGTGTGCTGCAGTATCTCAGTGTACTGTGGCACTCTGGCGCATTCATACAAAAACGTTAAAAAATATACATATTAAATAATAATATTTACCTAGGTAATAGTAATGTAGTATAATCATTTACTCGGTAGTAAATTGATGAAGAAAATACAAATACATATGCCGATACCTATATATTAAATCATATTCAAATGACGTGTGTCAAATGAAGCCCACGGTGCAAAGTATACGACGATTGATTTTGAATAGCTCTGTATAATATTGTACCAAACTATGTATACCTCGATAGTTTTCGTGTTATAGAAAAAAGTCCATTGCCCCCGTGTCATCTTGGACTTGAATTTGAGTGGGCTGGCCTATATAGAGTTGCAGACTTTAGTTTGTCTATGCCTCTATCTGTGGTTTATTTCAGTAGCGCAACCAGAAATATCCTTTGGGGGGGGGGGGGGGCCCAAAATTATATTACAACAGATATAAACATAAATAATTGTGTTAATAATAAATGTATTTTTTATTTGTGTTACCATATTAATAATAAAATGTATATATAAAAAAAAATATAATGAAAATATATCAAATACAATTATAAAATAAAGTCTAAACGACGCTTTAAATTCGATAAACGCTGTATTACTTCTTCGGACTTGACATCAATATCATAGTGAATATTGAGAGCAGCTAGTCCATTCAATCTCGATTCGGACGTTGAGTTTCTTAAGTTTTAATGCGTTTGAGTGTAGAAAATGATCTTTCAGCTTCGCAAGATGTGACAGGAAGTGTGACCAGTATTTGCAAAAGCTTAAAAACATTTGGAAATAAATCTGAATTGCAATTATTCAATATGTTGATGGCATTTTTTGTTTTAATGTTACTATCATCTAGATAACGATTCCATAGTAAAATTTCTGATTTCACAAGATCTCGTAGATTGTTTACATCGTCATTCAATTTTTTTAATTCAGTAATTATATGATTCGCTAAACTTTTACCACTCACATCATGTACTGGAATAAATTTTAAAAAATCTTCAAGAATATTTTTGTTTTTCTTATCATAATAACGGGCACATAGAGCAAACTGTTCAGTACCCGATATATCAGCGGTTTCGTCCGCTATTATTGAAAAAAATTACTTTCATTAATTCTATTTACAATTTTTGATGAAATAATTTCATAACAAATGCTAACAATTTCATTTTGTATTTTCCAACTTATGTATTGTGCATTTCTACCACAATTTTCTCTTGCTAATATAAAACTTTCATCGCCGGATGTAGCAGTTGCCTTAAGGAAAAATCTCAATAACGCCAAACAAAATTTATTATACTTACAATATATTATTATATTCCCAAATTAATTAAAAAATGTTCCATTTTATAAATACTCAAGGGGGGTCTGGACCCGGGGACCCCCCCTTTGGTTGCGCCACTGGTTTATTTGGTTTTTAGTGGTTGCGCTGTTTGTTTGTCTTCTGATATTTTCAAGAATGATGTTTTGATGGTGGTTGTATGTTTTGGATGTGTGTGAAATTAGAAATGTTTGCTCGGTATAGAGGAATGCTTTGGCCTTTGGCTGCGTCATCGAGGACTGTAATAATAATATAATATATAACTTAATTGTACGATAATAATATTATAGTATATAAGCTAATGTTTGTCTGCATATCTTTTTCCACAGCCGTTCAGAGAGGTCGAGTTCCGGCCAGTCAGCCACCCGGGCTCACCGGACTTCCCGGTCAGTTGTGCCTGGCCAACGGCGAGGCAGCAGCGGCCGCGGCCGCTGCCGCTGGAGCCGTCGGACTCAACGGCCACTCGTACCTGTCCTCCTATATATCACTGCTGCTGCGAGCTGAACCTTACCCGACGTCTAGGTACGGACAGTGTATGCAACCAAACAACATCATGGGCATAGACAACATATGCGAGCTGGCCGCCAGGCTGCTTTTTAGTGCTGTTGAGTGGGCTCGGAACATACCCTTCTTCCCAGACCTGCAGGTGAGGGAGAGAAATATATTATAATTTAACCATTCCCACTCCCAAGGTATTCCTCGGTTAGAAAAAATATGTATAATTAATTTAAATTGTTTGATTTAATTTAAAAATTGTTTTAGTATTAATTATCTACTATTAAAATTTTAATTTTTTGTTTAAATACCTATTGTTTTACATATTATTATTATTTGTGTAAAAACATGACAATTATAGGACATATTAACATTTAAATAAACACGTGTTGAGTAGGCCTACTATAACTATATATATTTTTAAACCATCGTGCGTATACGCGTTTAGAAGAAATAATGTACGTATGGCTCAAACAGCTTTGATATTGTTGCCTATTATACATCTACTTGAAACACGCGAGCTTGTCGTTTTTGTATATGTCTAACTTAAACGGTATTGTGTGTGCTTGCAGGTGACTGACCAAGTGGCCTTGCTGAGGCTCGTTTGGAGCGAACTGTTTGTACTGAACGCGTCACAGTGTTCGATGCCACTGCACGTTGCCCCGCTGTTGGCCGCGGCTGGGCTGCATGCGTCTCCGATGGCCGCGGATCGAGTGGTCGCTTTCATGGACCACATACGCATATTCCAGGAGCAGGTGGAGAAACTCAAAGCCCTCCACGTAGACGCCGCCGAGTACAGTTGTCTGAAAGCCATCGTCCTGTTCACCACCGGTAAGTCCACTTCATTATAGAACTTTAAGGAACAACAATCATAATATACACCTTAGCACCGCGGGAAGGTGGTAACTCGCTTTTGATTTTAAAACTTTTTTTGTGACTTCATATGCGTGGGCACACAATTTTTACTGAGCCCGTCTTACGCCATCCCTGATGGTACACACTGCAGCGACGTGTAATATTGGTACGCTGACGTCGCGAACATGCAGTAATTTAGAAAGTATAATAGATATTCGCTTTTTTCGCTCGACGATAGGTAGGTATTATATTAAATACCGCGAGTCGAAGCAGTATTCAGTGATCGGCCGTCACGTAGCCCAAAGTCGCAGGAAACGATAACGCGCGTCGCGTGTAGAAAGTCGCAAGAATATGGTTTTAACAATAATGCACATTAAACGTACCTATATACATAATATTATTATATATAAACAAAGTCGTCGCCGCGTAGTCTTCGTTTGGCCGGCGGGCACGCGAATCGTGTCCGACCTGTTCTCGTGCAACATTACAGCTTTCACTCGGGCGGCAAAACGTCATCCCGAAAACGATTCTCAGTCGGCGAGAATTTATTTTCCATCCTCTACTCGAGCGCGTACACTATCTTCGTCTCCTTGTTACTAGCGTCGTGCTGGTCGTCTTCTTTCCCGCGGCGCATCCTAATGAGGAGAGTTTGCCCCGCTAAGAGTTGCGTATATTTTGAATATTTTTTCTCAACGGACGGAGATCGCAATATAATAATATGTTATATAAAATAAAATACAAAAATGAATTGGCTTATCAAATCACCAAGTCGAGGATTTTTTTATCGAGATAATATATTTATCACACAATCAGCGCAGAAGCAGTACATCTCGGACAGTATTTATTACCTATTTAACCATATATTCGGTAGGTACGCGAATCGAGTACGCCGTGCCGTGTCGTTTAAATCTGAGCAGAGCACCGCCGCGATAGTCGATATAGGTACATACTATATTTTATACTATATTATACAATGTTAAAGCTTACGACTAGCATTTTCCCGTGGAAGATTTTCGATCGCTTCTCATCAATCGCCACCCTATTTTTCGTTGTGATCCTAAAATTTGTTCTTTGGTATTTACCACGCCCTCCCACCGCCACCGCACGGTAATTGGAATCGCAAGCGCGGTGGCGTTCGCGTTCTCTCGTCGGCCGTAAGTCATGCTTTGACAGCGAGATATTAAAATCTGTATATTATATAAAATAAGATGTCCTGGCTGACTAATCAATGTAAAGCCAAAACTGCGATAGAAACAGAAACTCGAAATCGTCATGGTACCTTCGTACCTCAATGTAAGGGCGCACTAAGAAAAGAATTTTCAAAATTCACATTTTAAAGATAGGATTGTGAATATTTATTTACTTATTATAACATAGGGTTGTCATAGATTGCGGAAAATAAAATAGTTGTTGATATATTTTTTTTAATCATGGAAACTTAATATAAATATGAGTAGCGGGGATATTTTTGGAAAAACATCATAAATTATATGTTGCCTGTTCGGTGTTCCTATACAGGAAGGCACTCATAAAGACATGTGCATACATTCCGCTATTACAACATGACAAAAAACATCGTTTACCTCACCCTTTTGCCATTATTTACGATTTTGTTTTTATTATTATAGCACAAAATATGCAAAGTACCTACCTATTTAAATTGTATTACGCTGTGATTTGTTTTAAAGTGCACGATTAAATGTGGCAATATTGCACAGGAAACAGGAACAGATACATTTAGTTGTCTGCCTGTTTGTCCTGCAGCAGGAAAGGTTACGAAACGGACGAACCGATTTCGACGGGGTTTTCACGGATACTACGGATGTGCGTATTATACGACGGAAAAACGGAAAACGATCCATAGATGGATGAATTAATTTTAAACCTGGGCAAGTCTGCGGGTAGTGGTAGTACCACCGACGCAGCTATATTAAAGTAAATTTCGTGTAACAATAACGTAATACTCGCGAAGAGACCGCGGCCGGTCACGACGAGGCGCGATTGCCGCCGCCGGCCACACGTCATGTGGCACGATGACGACCACGAGACGAGTGGACGGACGTTTTGTGCGTGTACGCACAAGCCGCCCGCCTTATCGCTCTCCTCGGACAGCCGGACGATTCGTCGTGGCCGGTGTGCGTACACGATAATAATACCTACGCGAGCGCCGTCGACCCGCCCGCTCGGCACGTCCTACTTTTCCGCGCGCGCGCTCATCCCGGATCCGTCGACGACGACGACGACGACGGAGATCGCAATCGCAGCCTCGCGTCCTACATAACACAAAAACAACAATAATAACGTACACCGATAGTTTAATTTTCCCACGACCTACGCGCGAGCGAGCGAAAAAGGGACGCCGAAGAAGACGAGTATTTTCGACAATAGTCGTCGATAACCGCCGCGAAACCATTTACCATATACCGTCGACGAAGTCACCGGACTCGCTAAATAATTGCCTCGGCGGTCGTTTAAATAATAACCATAGTAATATAAAATATTATCGACCCACGCTGCACGGACGGTTATACTGCACTACGTATTATTATTATTATTATTATTATGTGCAGCGTTTATAGTGAAAGCGAGTGTAATAATAATACGATGTACCGAGCAGAAACTGACGCGGTATACGGTATCGCACGGTCGTAAAAAAATCTCACGATCGAACTATATTTTTTTTCAATTATTATTGTAACGAACTCTCGCGAAACCAGTTGTTGCGACGTCCGTACTTGAGCGCGCGCGCGCGAACGTGGTTTGGGTAACTTACGCGACGACTTACAATAAATAACTTCGGATCGTCGCAGACAATATATTATATTATTATTATACTCCATTCTTCGGTACGGCGGAGGCGGTCATTAAGAAGTGTCCGTTAAGAAGTCTTTTGTTCCCACCCGGTGCAAAACTGTGAGTGTGCAGATCGCTAGGTTCTAATGAGATTCGTTGGGCGATATAACTCCCATCGATTTTTCCGAATAGATACGGAATGATCCGCTTAACACGTAAGACAGTCAATATTATTTCAAAAAACAATAACGTTTTTAAAAACACTTCTTTAACATATTAAATTATTTTAAGTCTTTTCAAAACAACATTTTCGCTGAAAAATTATATTATTTACTATTTTGTTGTTATCATTTCTTAAGTTTTACTCTTTTGGTCGACAACATATAGGTAGGTATGTTTTTTATTTCATATTCCGGAGCAGAATATTAATCGGAGTATTTCGATCTATAAAAATCAAATTTTTGACAAGTAGCTTATGACTTATGAGTTATAAGCTTATAACTTATAAGTATTTAATGTTAATATGAGTGAAGTGGTGGACCTATATCAAAACTTAAGATACTTGTAATACTCATAAAATAGGTACTCGTCCAAAATAAAAGTGTTACAAATATTATTTATTTTAGATAGATGTTGTTTTTAACGACTAAAAATTATATTAAAAAGGTATTTTCTAAAACGAAAATATCAGTGCCTAACGTTAAATGGATCACCCGGTATAGCATTACGTTTCTTGTAACTGAGGCGGAAAACTGCGGACACGTGCTCAAAGTCGACAACCGCTAGTCGAGCCGATTTTTTCGGACATTCATTAATAATTCTTATTCTGTTTGATTTAACTTAAAATTTTGCTGGCCACCAAACCTTCTGCTTCACGGCTACCACGCGTCATGTGGGATTCTCAAAGTCATCAATCCAATGCGCCTCAGGCTTATTGTGTATTTTTTATAGATTAACTGTGTACACACATTTCTTACAACGATAAAAATTAATAGCATGCGTTTTAAGTAAACGGTTAGTTTTTCAATAGTTCGTAGTTCGTTACAATTTATAAATAATTACAACAGCACCACAGTCCACCACATACGATTTTGACAATTTTTCCAAATTTACACGAACATTGTACAAACTCGAATATTTCATAACAAATCACTAATACGCAAAATATTCGTGCATATAGTCGTTTATTCTTCAAGACGACCGAGAAATCGCCGGTCACCCGAACTGATAAATCTCAGTCATCGCATGCTAATATAAACACACACGTCCTCGCGGCACGTATCTATAATATTATAATTTGTTTTTAAAACCTAACCGATTTCGAAACGCATTCGTATATATAGATACGCTATTTAACGAATATTACTAAACGCCGATTGAATAACGGATTGAGACTAAATACGAAACGTGTTCGTGGAAAGAAAAGCGCGCGTTTAAGTACCTTCAATGCATATACCTATATACAGGCTTTAACAAAGCGTTAAAACCTGGCCGAAAACACCCGCGGTGGTGGAGGCGGCGTGAACACAAGTCCTACACCTCGTACTACTTGTGCATATATTATTATTATGTACATAATACAATTATATATTATATACCTATGTATTATACACGTGTATACACATATATGATATGTTATTTATTAAAATTTAACGCGCGTTGTGCGTTTTCTACTTTTCGACGCTTCGGGTGAAAAACGACGACGACGGCGGTCGTTAGCAACCTGCGCCGCGTTATACATACGATAAATCCTTGTGACCCAGTGGCCCCCGTCCGGCGACCGCGAGGTCACCGCAGCACCGCAAAACGGACGCGTGGGCGTATTATAGGTGTACGGCTCCTGCGCATTACACACCTATCTATATACATACACATAATACATTATACAGATCTATATACATCATATTATATGAGCGTGTGTGTGTGTAATGTGTACGTGTGTGCAGGGCAAACGACCCGAGAGCGCGCGCTAACCGTTAAATATATACCGCCAGAGTCGTATGTATATACGCGTTTACAGGCGCACGCGCGACCGAACCAAGTCGCGTTGTTATTATTATTATTATTCAATTAAAACGGATCCGTTTACCGAACGGTATATTTATAATCACGTATAATACGTGATACAAAATAATATTATAGGCGGTCCGGCACGCGCACACGGAGTCCGGGGACGAGGTAAA